GCAGGGGCAACGCTCAGAGCCTGCCAGGGGAGCACTGCACAGGGGAGCGAGTGCAGGCACTGGCCCCACGCCTCTGTGGGAGCGCGCATGCGCGCACGTTCCCCACGGGACCGCAAGCCTCGCGGAGGCGTGAAGGCGGGGAGGGCATCGGGTAGTTTTAACCACAGTGCTTAGCTCACTACCTCCCACGATAGCAAAGGCTCCGTAAAGGTTTCCTGAATGAATTCTTTCTAAAGGCCATATGGCCATTAGGGACAAGTGAAGGCACAGCTACAGAGAAAGGAAATGACAAAGAAAATCTTGTTTGATTAAAACAGATGAATTATGACTCACTAGTGATCCTTCCGCTGGGTGAATGGACGCAGAGAATGGCTACTTTTGTTCTTTGGCAGCTTTGATAGAGTGGACGTGACATCTAGCCATGGTTCAGTGACAAGATAAATATTTATTTTAAATTAAAGCATCTACCTGTGTTACACATGGCATACACTGTGAAATATAAATTATTATAGAAGAGTATTTATGAGCTGAAAACTACTATTTCGTATTTATGAGCTGAAAACTACTATTTCCCAATGAGTTTTATTGCTTTTGAACATACAAGGTTAAAATTCTACAGAATATTCTATCAACAATGTCCTGTCCTGGCCTGTCCCATCTTGTAGTGGAAGCAGTTCCCTGGGACATGCGGAATTTGGCTTAATACAGTCTAGGAGCTCAAAGAATTGAAACACACTCTAGATGCATTGCACAACGCAAAGGAAATCCATGCCAGAAGAATGCATTTTCAAACAGCAAAACGTAAGTGGGGGGGCTTGTGCTCCTGGGGGCACTGATGCTCTCTTTCTTTGTATCTGTCCATTCTCCTTCCAAGTAGGGAGGCCCTGGCTGCCAGGGATGAAAGAGAGGAAGGCAGAAGAAAAAATGTGCTGCTTCAGGATACAAAAGAAAAAATTTCCCGACAATCCAATTTTCTATGGGAAATATTTTTTAAGGTATTTTAAAATAAGATTATTTTCCAGTGGATAGGCCACAGACAGCAAGGACTCACCTCACCTGTCTTCCTACATAAACCCACTTTGTCTTGGCAGCCGCAGATTAGTGCTTGAGTGACTTGAGTATGTGCCTTAAGTCTTTCTAAGCGTCATCTTCTCCCCGATTACTTGCTTGAGCTATTGCTCATCTAACAGCCACAAGGCTCCCCTCCTGCAGCCTCCTGCTACCCCAACAAAACAGGGGCCCAAAGCAGTGGCTCTGATTTGTTATATTCCACCAGGAATTAAGTCCCGGGAATCCACCCATTAAAAACATTCCATGAAGCAAAAATTTAGAAGCTAATGTGTCATTTCATTGTTCAGCTAGGAGTTCTTCTCCGATGGCATGTGTTAAAATGGAGGGAAAAGGGAAGTGTAAAATAATTCAGCCTGATAATGCTGGATGCCATGTTTACAAAGCAACCTCAATTTGGCTTTGGGTTTGGCTGGAGATGTGATATTTGATGTCTCAGGGACCAGTGGGGTGAGGGTGGGGGGCGAGGGGACAGGGAGACACAGATCGTCGGCCAGGAGAGTATCAATTTACTCACGATACATATTCCCGAGCCATCCTGGCATCGATTTGAATGTCCGTTGCAATTGCAGGGAACACATCGTCCGGTATATGCACCTTTGCTATCCCGATAGTATCCGGGGCTACAACCCTGTTTTTCAAACAAAGCATTTAGTCAACATAAAGAATTATTATCCAAAGCATGTGCCAATTCTGACTGTCAAGCATTCACTTTCTTTTTAAAATTTATTTTTAACATTTATTCACTTTTGAGAGACAGAGTGTGAGTCGGGGAGGGGCAGAGAGAGAGGGAGACACAGAATCCTAAGAGGCTCCAGACTCAGCCGACAGCACAGAGCCTGGCATGGGGCTCGAACTCACGAGCCACGGGATCATGACCTGGGCTGAAGTCAGACGCTTAACCAACTGAGCCACCCAGGTGCCCCAAGCATTCACTTTTTAAATCTTTTTTCCTTTAGTTGGTATGTGGATTTCTACTTTCAAATACTAGCCAGTCCACTGGCTCCCTTTGTCAGATTCTACCTTGTTTCCACGCCACAGCACGCGTGTGTGCTAGTGGCAGAGCGGGAGATGTGTGGGGGGACATGAGAGAAAAGGGAGACGTGGAGGGAGGAGTGTGGAAATGGCTTCCTCTCCTTCAACCGTTTTAGGGCAAGTGGAGGGGTGGAGAGGTGAAGGGGTAAAGAGGGTCAGGACATCAGTCTTTGGTGGGGAAAGTCTCTAAGCAAATCCTTTCAAGTCCAAGTGCTCTTAGGGCAGGCATTCCGTCTCCAAGTAGGAGTTTGGACTGGTGGATGAAGGGGGACTAAGGAGTCTTCATTAGGATCTATTCAATAATGGCAGAACCGGGGGAATCATGTCACTGCCAGTCACTGGTCTATAAGCAAAAGCGAACTCAGGGGAGAGGACCGTGCCTGTGTTCTCTACAGAACGCTGCAGGGACGCTGGGCTTCAATGGGACACGCAAAGACCCAGCTGGAGGGAATCTCACTGGGTGTGGTCTTCTTTTCTTGTTCAATGTTGCTTTGACCGTGTGTGTGTGTGTGTGTGTGTGTGTGTGTGTGTGTGTGTGTGTACATATATATATATTTTAAGGATTCTAGTTGGGCGCCTGGGTGGCTCAATGGGTTAAGCATCCGACTTTGGTTCAGGTCACAGTCTTGCAGTTCACGAGTTCGAGCCCTACAATGGGCTTTGTGCTGGCAGCTCAGAGCCTGGAGCCTGCTTTGGATTCTGTGTTTCCCTCTCTCTCTGCCCCTCCCCCACTCACATGCTGCCTCTCTCTCTCTCTCTCTCAAAAATAAATATTTTAAAATAAATAAATACTTAAAAAAGGATTCTAGTTAAGAATGCCCCAACAGAAGAAAAAGCAATTCTTCCAACACCAGCCATTAAAAATTATTTAGATTTCTGTCTTTAAAGCGAATCATAGGCATTTTGTTTATTTTGGCAGAGCAAATTAATACACTGATTCAAACCAAATGTTGTCCCCAGTTTCTTTAAGTGACCTCCATATATGGCCTATCTAAAGCATCAGGAAAAAACAATATTTCAAGATAAAAGATCATCTTTCATCTAATCCTCTTTAAACAGCATTATGTCTATAAGACTCTGAAGCTACAATCAAGAGAAATCAGAAAATCAACCATCCATTCTCATTCATCCGTAGCCATAAAGGGCTCTACCTGGTCTGGTGGGAAAGAGGAAGAAGCCAACCTTATAGAGCTGGAGAAAGAAGCCTGGTATACTCCCCGGAGTAGAACATCCCAGTTTCTGATAGGAGTTTCTTCCAAAATTACCAATTACTACACACTGGACACAATAACAAGACTATAATTTCCAGTACGTTTTCCCCTTCAGCTATTAGAAACCATGTTTAGGCAAAAGAAGCTATTGCAAAAAATGAGATTGCTTTATGTGTTATATGAATAGGCTTGTCTACAGGAGAATCGAAGTATGAAAGGAATGTTCTTTAATTGAAAACACAACTGAGAGAGACGTTCGAACAAAATTCAGCCACTGGTAGTGTGATCATATCTACAAGCAAATACTCTCCACTACTAAGTGGCAAGTGTCTCTTAATTACCCCCACATATCACATTACATGCTTATGAAATAATATTTGGTAAAGAACAAATTATCCAAATAAATAAATATATGTGGTTCATTTATGACAACATGTCTGAGTAAAAAGCCTTAATTAAACATGTTTGGCAGGAGGACGGTCCATCCTGATTAAAATTAAACCACCCACCTTAATTTGCTTTCGATTAGAAACAGAAAAAGTCCCCTACAAGTCACATGACTTCTCAGGCAGAAGGTTTGTCGGTTACTGAAATATAATCATTTTCTCACCTCTACAAAGCACACAAACTCCGCACAATCTTATACACAATTCAGTTCAAGTACTCAGATTGTATTGAAGATTTACTCTAAATGAAAATGAATGTATCCTAATATATCATTTCAGAAAGGGGTTTAGCAACCATATTTTTTAAGTAACAATTTTTCAGGATCACTTTTCCAATAAACTTTTGTGGTACAAATGATAAAATGATGTCCCTATCAGGTTTTCAGGGCTACCTCAGCAGCCATTGGATCCATTTCTCTGTGAGCATACATGTAAAAATCCAGAAAGTTGAGACAGAGAGAGAGACAGAGAAAGAGAGAGAGAGCAAGCGAGCTGACTTTATGAGTGTTTAATGCCTGGCAAATTGAAGCATGTCTTGTTAGGTATTATACAAATTCAATCTCATCACTTTTCTTAAACATGGATTTCACTGATTTTCGTGGTTTACTTTACCGGTAAATTTTCTTCCAAGCAGAATTTGGAAGTCTACAGGCATTGGACTCTTGTCTTGGGGCCTGAGTTACTCTCGAAAGGGCACAAAGTTTCATAGTGTACTAACATCCCACAAACATTCAAACTCTGAGCTGTCTGGGCATTTCCAGGTGGGCTGATGTTTACGGGGTTTGTGGTTAACAGCTCAGGAGAACAATCTGTCAGGCACCGTAATAAACCCTGCCAGTCAACAGGACAGGGAGGCTCTGGGTCCCTCCCCCAGCCCACCCATTATTCATTCATCCCCTTAACTTAAAAAATGTCATAAAGCTAGGAACCCTTCCCCAGCCCAAACCAAATTTAAAAGGGACATTACCTGGCTGGGCTTAAACTCCACATAACTTGCTTGCAGATGGCTTTGACCCGGAGGCTGAAGAAACGCTACCCTTTGCTGCTGTGAATTATATCCCAGACACTGCCCCACAGCTGCCCCAAAGATCCACAGCCATCCAGCGCTCCAGGCTGACCACCTCACTGTGGGGGACATCCTGGTCCCTGGGCGTCCTGCTGGCTGCACGCAAACCTTTTCCTCTTCCTCTTATACCTGCCCTTCCTGCTTCAGTGCCCAAGCCCGCCTGACTCAGGTGAGGCAGGCTGTCTGCGGCAGGAGGCCCCACCTGTAAACTTCACCCATGAGTCAGCCTGTGAGAGAGCGCACATAACAGTCCCACAGGGAAGAACGCCGCTCTGTAATTCCTGCGAGGTGGGGTAGGCATCACCTTCTACCCACCTTACCCCGCAGACGGCACTAGCTGATTAGAGCAGATGTAAATCACAGGCTGAGTCACGAGCAAAGAACACGCCCGGGGCAGGAGGCTGGTAATCCAGAGGTTCCACTCCTTCCCTGGGGCTATGATTTTATTTAATCGGGCTAGAAAAGAGATAGGAGGAAGGGGGTGGGGAAGAAGAATCTTGGCACCTGTGGACTAAATGTTAAAAGACAGAAGTCCCCACGGGGTACCTGGGTGGCTCAGTTGGTTAAGCGTCTGACTTTGGCTCAGGTCATGATCTCCCCAGAAAACCACGACAGGTAATATATTTGCAAGTTAAAAAAAGAAACTTGTGTGCAGATCACCTAGGGGCTTTCTGCGATCAAGGGGTGAGGATAGAAAGGGGAGGATGTTGCTAAATGTCCATACAGGGGGTAGAGGGAATACACCGAGTGATAATATTTGCTATTTCCTAATAATTGCACCAAACATTGTGCTTTCCCTCCCATCAGGAACAGAACCTATTTACAACTTGAGATACGACAGTTTCATTTTATGGCACAATTTAATCATCTGAGGACAAGTCAGGCTGGCTGGGCCTGGCAGGAAGATCTGCTGTGAGCTCAGAAACTGGGCTGCCACGTCCCCTGGAAGAACCAGGACACTGTCTGGACTCTAAACTGGAGAGGCCCTTGACTAAAGAACAGCACAAGAACCCGAGGTCACCTACTGGAAAGGCAGTGGCTCAAATACTGGGATGCCCACTGGCGGGCTCCTTCTACTTCCCAGAAAGTCCTGATTTCTACAACCTCCAGGATTGACCAAATGCCTGCGGCTTTCCAGTGGAATTTGAGATGTCTGTGATTTCTTTTTTGTATTTCATACCTGAAGGTGGTCCAGGTAAGACAGAAGCTATAGCCCAGGAGACACCTGTCCGATGGACAGAGTACTTCAGACCGTCCAGCAGGGCGGGGGCAGCAGACAGAAGGGGCAGCCACAGGAGTCCTAGGGGGAATTTCTTCCTACCTGGCATGAGTCACCGGTGTAGCCAGGGGGGCAGGCACACATCTCCACATGATGTGCTCTACGCCCACTTCCTGTGGCAGAGGCCTCCTCCAGTCCCACCCCGCTCAAGGAGAGCCGCTGAGTCTCGGTGAAGTAGAGGCCTCGGAGACGCACACCTTCTAGTCTAGACAGTACCATCATC